AATTGATTCATCGCTTCCGCATCTTCCACAAGGGATCCCGGTTACTGTAGCTGGGAACTTCAATGCAACTCCGAATAGACAACTTGATCGATGGCACATTTCATCCCCATGTCCAATATATATTGAGTCAGATGAGATAATCATAAATAATCTATGTCATTCCCTCAACCTTTTTTATTCTTATAGACGACTTAATCCTACTTAGAGGCGGTTCTCCTACTTTAGGAAAGGTCAATTTAGTCAAGGGTCCAAATCTCGTATTGATCTAATTTTAATGTCTGAAGCACTTCAAGGAGCAATACAGTGTGCTGAGATTTTCCCGCAAAGTGCGTTTCCAGGTTTAGATCATGTTATGTGTGTTGCAGTCCTCTCATTCAGAAAAAAAACAGATCAAGGGAAGGGATTCTATAAACTTAATACATCTCATTTAAAGATTGATAACTTTATTTCTTATCTCAAGGATGTGTGGTCCTTTTGGCGTAACCAGAGGGAGCTCATTCAAGATGACATAATTTGGTTCAACAACGGCTTAGCATTTTTAGGTCGTAAATGCAATGAATACTCTAAGCTCCTAGCCTTACAAAGATATTCTAAAGAAACAAACTTGCCACAGAGAATCCAACAACTCCAACAACAGGAGAATGAATCCAAGGAATTAAGAACTTTAGAACCTTTAGCAAAAGAAATTAAAGAACTGGAGGATCAATTGCTGACATTAATGAAATACAGGTGGCAATGAATAAGGATTAGAGGTAAGCTGAGGAAACACCAAATGGAAGGGGAGATGGATGCAAGGTTTTTTTTTATGGCAAAAATTAACTCTGGTCGCACAGTTATTGAAGTCCTAGAAGACCCCACATATAAGAATGCTCCATTGGTCACATCCTCAGCAGCATGTATGAAGATAGTCAGGGATTTCTATCAGAATCTCTTTAAGTCAGAAACTAAAAATATTCCGGAGAATCAAAGAACGCAGGAAATAAATTATTTTCTTAAACTATTGACTAAATCACTAACAAAAGTTAAAAAAAAAAAGTTAGAATTGTCTATTTCAAAAGAGGAAATATGGACAGCTTTAATGTTAATGGAAGAAGAGAAGACACCTGACATTGATGGTCTTCCCAAATAATTTTGAGAAACCTTATGGGAATTCCTCTCTCAAGACGTCATGGACTTCTATAAGGCAGTTTGGTCGTCTGAACAAGTAGGGGAATTTGTAAGACAATTAATACTAACTCTTCTATATAAAAAAAGGGGATAAAACCAACATTCGAAACTATCGCCCTATAAATCTCTTGACAGTAGTTTATAAACTAATGGCTAAAGCTCTAGCCAATAGACTATCCAAGGTCATCGCTGAAATTATACATCCTGAACAAACCAGGTTCATTACAGGAAGAAATATTCAAGACAATATATTATTAGTTAATGAACTAATTAGGGTATTACGTCAATCTAAAAATAATGCAGCCTTCATATTTATAGATTTTGAAAAAGCTTATGACCATGTGGACTGACTTTTTCTAGACAAATGCTTGAAAAAATTTAACTTTGGTCCAAACTTCAGAAAATGGGTGAAAGTACTGCATAAGAATGCTACCACTAGGGTAATGGTAAATGGTAATTTAGCCCCCCCTATCTCCTTACAGAGATCAGTAAGACAGGGAGACCCAATTGCCCCATTTCTGTTTGTCATAATTATCGAGGTCCTGGCAGCTAAACCTTAGACGACATAAAGACATTAAAAGAATTCAAGTGTCATCTATTCCAAAGGATGTCATTCCGGTTTGCTCTCTCTTTGCTGATGATCTCTCCCTAATGGTAGAAGCATTAAAGGAAAATTTAGAGGAAATAAGAAGGCTAATGGATAAATTTTGTAGGCTGTCTGATGTGAGGATTAATTGGGGTAACAAGACGATGGGTTGGTGGATTCATCATCAAGAAGTAAGACCCCCTGAATTCCCAAAAGTGAAATGACTCTCATTAGATACGCCCATTACAGTATTAGGAATTTCCCTATCACCAGCAGGAAAACCATCAACCAACAATGAGAGTATAATTAAACAAACATATGCTAAGTTGGAACTCTGGAAGGGCAAACAAACCTCTCTCTTTGGGGGCACTCTGGTGATTAACAATGTGGTCTTAGCCTCGATCTTGTATAAATCAGCAATATGGGCCCTGGATAAGAAAGTATTAAAGGTTCTGCAACGTCAATTATCAGTCTTTTTATGGAGAGGAAATCATGAGCTTGATAAGGTAATTAGTAGGGTGGCATGACAATCGGTGATACAACCTAAGACTCGAGGTGGATTGAGTATCATTGATCCTTCTTTACAAGTCATGGCCTTATCAGTTCAATGGATTAAACGTCTACTCTTTAATTCCCAGACCCCTTGGAGTGATTTGGCATGAGAACAGATTAGACGTCTAGCCCCGATAACACCAGATGAAATAGATCCCATGATGTGGCTAGAAAATAGATCGTGGCCTATACCAAAAGGTACATTGAATGGACTACTTGACCAATGTGTATCAGACAGGAGAGCGACAATAATGGACTTGCATAACGATGCATTTTGGCATAATCTCATCAAAACATGGAGGAAATTACCACTAACAGATCCAAATCCTCCTGAAAGATGGGAGGAAGTAAGTCAGCAACCACTCTTTGATAATTTCCTTCTTAAAGATCACTGTACGGATTCCCCCTGGAAGGGGTGGGTTAAAAATTGTATTGTTAGGATAAAAGATATCTGGGACAGTGAAAAAAGAGAATGGATCACAACCGCACAATTACAGACTCATCTCAGATATTGTCATAATTATGAGAAAGCCTTATAAAATATAATTGATTGGATACCATTGGATTGGGTAAGGATTCTGAAAAAGGGACCTCAGTTAATGGAAAGTGATTGGGCGGCTATAAAAGATCATCCAAATGTCTTAGGTAATATTGTTGCAGTGTTGGATAGAGGGGAGGTTCTCCTCACCACATATGAAATGGATAGCAACCTCTATAGTATAATTAATGACCAGAACAGTATAAGAAGGGTAACAAAAGATCAGTTATTCAGGATCAGAGTACTGAGGCAAAAAGACAAATGGATAGCTTTTAAACCTAAAATACCCATAAGTCATCTGGCCCTAAATCCGGTCAATTGGAAGTGGTCTAATACAAGAAAAAAATATGCAAAGTACTCTTGTGCTCTCCATACATTATCAGTAAAATCCACCTACAGGATGCTTCGCCCAAGAATCATCTTAATGGATAAAGTAGAGGAAAGATGGATGAAGCATCTTAATATTAATAAATAAACATTAAGAAAGGTAAGATGGTTCAGTAAGACCAAAATTAAGCCTACAAAAGTGGCTTCACTACAATGGCAAATGGAACATAGGTGCCTACCTACAAACAACTGGATTATAGACAGGACAAATTTGGAACAAAAAGGAATAGCGCTTCCTTGGTGTAAAATTTGTAAGTCTGCATTTCCAACTAAATTAATTCCTGAAACAATTGAGCATATCTTCCTTCAATGTCCCGGGGCTATTTGGCTTTGGAGGTGGTCGGACCGAATATGGTCTAATCTAGAAACACAAATCCAGTGGCCATGGGACTGGAGAACCCTTCTCTTGGAATCTTGGTACCCTGACTCTGTTGACGAATTCTCACAAAACTTATTCAACATGGGTAAAAGAGCAGTATTATTGGCTATATGGTTAAGAAGATGTACATATGAAATGGAAGGAGTAAGGCTTGATGGACCTGAATTCAATGACACAGTTAAACAACAAATACAAACAGACATCATTTTAAGATGAGAACAGTGTAAAGAAAAGGTAAAATTCTTATCTTCAAAAAAAGAAATACTTCAACACATTCAACGATTCAACCAATGCTGGCTAGGAGGAACCCATGGGGCAAAGATAGGGAAGGTTAAATGGGAAGGGGCAAAGAGAAGTGAAGAAGAGGAACTGAGTCGATATTATTACCTTGCTTTAATGATTGGACTGTGATAGACCCAGTAATCCCCTTACGACCAGTATCGGATTTCCCAGACCCCTTTCCCCCCTCAGCTTTGAGTATGGTCTCAGGAGCTTGGTATGGGTATGAATAATACTATGGAGGTTCTCTCTCAAAGCTGAGTCTGGTCTCAAGTGTTAGGTATGGAAATAAACAAAGTTGAGACTAGGGTTGAGCCTGTAATTGCAGGATGGGTAGATAATAAAGGTGAAGTGCTAGGGTAATGTTGTTTGAATCTGGCGCCCTTTCGTGGTGAAGAGGCACTTTTATTTCCATTCATGTTGTCAAGGGACGCTGGACCCGGTTTCCAGCAGGTGAAGCTCCCCACCAATAGAAGGAGCCGTTGTTTTTAATTAAAAGAAAAAAAAGGGTAAACTACTAATCTAGGATTAGAAAGAATAGGATGGGGATTGGTGTGTTTCTTTGTGAATAGTTGGGCAGCAGTGGTTACTTTCCTTCAATAGCTAGCCTTCTTTTTTAGCTTGTGTTCGGCTTTCGAGGGCCTTGGGGGCTTTCTTTGTTGTTTCCCAGGGTTGGGATGTGTCAGGGCAGCGGTCCGGAATTGGCCATTCTGCTTCTAGACCATTGTGTCCCAAGGCCTGCACCTAAACTGGGTAATGGTCCCAGTAATTTGCTCCGGGTTTGTTGAGGTTTTCCCGGCCTCCTTTTTTTGGTGTGGTAATATGAATGAGCAGAGTTTCTCTTGTAAAAAAAAAAAACAAAAAAACAAATGGTGCCCTCTTGAACTCAAGTCACTTCTGGGAGGTGACTTGAATTCAAGGGCGATTTTGGCTGGGCCACCCTTGGTTTTCAAGGGCGTGCCCTTGGGAGGCAAAATGTGAAAACAAAGCGGGTCGCTCTAAGGCGGGGTTGGAGCGATGATTTTTCGCTTCGCTCTTGAACTCAAGTGGTGTGGAACGAGGCCCTTATCAGCCGCAGCGCTCTAGAGCAGAGGGGTCGAAGATCCCGAGGGAGTGAAGGAGGAGGGAGGAAGAGAAGTAGATGAGCGACAAAAGTAGAAAAGGTAGAGAGTAGAACATCCATCATTATATCATTTTATGTTTTATATTTATATATGTTAGGTAGACTTGCAAGTTGCAACACTGCCATTGATCTCCTGCCATTGATCTCCTGGGCTCGCTCGCTTTCAAGTTGTTCTCCCGCCCCCGATAGTCGAGTGTGAGCAGTTTTGGACGGGTCCCCGCACTAGCAAGTTCCCCTCAAAGGGGGAAGTAAATAGAGCAGGTGGAGAGGAGGGTGAACGGTGGACATCGGAGCTTCAGGGCGAGAGTCTGATTCTGTCCTTCAGAGATGTCGAAAAAAACAGAGCTATTTGGCAGTCTTGTCCGATATGGCGACAAGAGCACGCAGGTGCGTTGGAACTCCGCTCTTGTCCCTCGCAAGGACTTGCTCTCTCTCTCTCTCTCTCTCTCTCTGCCTCCCGGACCACCATGACCACGACCCACAAACACAGTGTCACACATCTACACACACACACACACGCGCGCGCGCACTCACGCACTCACGCACTCACGCACTCACGCACGCACGAACACAATCACCTGGCAACGCCATAATAGCGAGATCCCTCGAGTTGTTCGGCTAGATCCGGCAGCAAGTACAAGGAGGAGCGGAGCGAGCCGGACCGCCATAATAACGAGATCCTACATCTACTTTATTATGATGTGCTAAAATTAGTACCAAGGTGCATGGAATAGTTTTGTACAAGTTTATATCTCTTCTCGCGTGAAATGATGTGTTAGCTACTGTGATGATCGATGTGAAATAGGCTTCGAGAACAGTAGCTCATCCACCTCAGGGTCACTTGAAAAATGATTAACTGAATGACTGCCGAATGAATGATTGGATCAATGAATGAACGAGTGAATGAATGAAGGAATGATTTGACCAATGAATGAATGATTGATTGGATAAATGAATGAGACTGATTGATCAATAAATGAATGAACAAATGAATGAATGAACGAACGATGGGTGTGTGTCTTTTTGACTATATGTGTGTGTGTGTGTGTGTGTGTGTGTGTGTGTGTGTGTGTGTGTGTGTGTGTGTGTAAAAACAAAAGAACAAACCTTTGGGCAGCATAGGCGGCTGGCGAGTGGCCGCGCTTTGTTTGTTTGTTTGTTTCCTTCTTTCTTTTTTTTGTCTAATAAATTAGGGACCATGCTAATCTTCTTTCTCTCTATCGTTCCAATGTTGACGGTTCTCCCGAAGGACAGGTTTATGTATCACTCTGTTCTCCTCGTTTTTTTTTTACCGTAGAGAGTCTCGAATAAGATTAAAAAAATTAAAAAATAAGTTATTAAGAAGTAAGCACTGCACGAGCAAGTTAAATTGTTGTGACGTCACTTACTTCGATGACGCTGGATGTCACAAAATTCGAAATGCGTGCTTTTCTTTTCTT